ATGGTGTTTTATGCACATTCAGAGCAGTGGTTGGTGAAATATTTATGAGGTATGTGGCTGTTAAAACAGCTTCACCCCAGAAAGATTTATCCAACCCTGATGAAATGATCATCGCACGTGCTTTTTCAGTAATCGTACGATTCATCCTTTCTGCTACACCATTTTGTTGAGGTGTATGTGGTACAGTTAAATGAAAAGTGATGCCTTTCTGAACACAATATTCTTTGAAATCATTTGACAAATATTCACCTCCGTTATCGCAATAAAAATACACAATTTTGCAATTGAACTGTGCTTCACTCTTTGCAACGAAATCTTTGAAGACTTTCAGGACTTCAGATTTATATTCCAATAAATAGGTCACTGTATAATGTGTGAAATCATCAATGAACGTTACAAAATAATTTTTATTATCGATTGTAGGAGGTGTTATTGGTCCACAAACATCAGTATGAATTATGAATAGTGGTCGTTCAACATGGTTTTTTAGTTTTGATTTTGAAAAAGGCAATCTTGCTTGTTTTCCGTATATACAAGCTTCACATGTATTGTTTTGTGGATAAATATCATCAATATGGTTAACATCTTCTACCATTCGATATTTTTGTAATTTTGAAAAAGAATGGCTATTTATATGCCCTAGCCGGTCATGCCATATTTGGTAGTTTTTAGTGTTAACCATATTTAGAAGATTCCCATGGTTTTTAGGTATTTTGAAGGTTATACCTATTAAACCATTTACGGGATCACCTGTGGCTACAGTAATGTTGTTTTTCTCAATCCTCACTCCAGCTGAATCGAAGATAACTGTCATTCCATTTTCTTGCATCCTCGACACTGAGATCAGGTTGTGAGTCACTTCAGGTATGAAGAGGACGTCATCCAGTTTTCCTTTGACACCGAGATTGGAAACTACGTCAATAGATCCTCTTTTTGTTGCGAAGACACTTGTGTCATTCTTGGCTACCGCAATTTTCATTGGAACTGGTAGATCATAAATCTTCGTGAAGAGATGTTCTTGATTAACAATGTGGTCTGTCGCTCCAGAATCAATGAGAAATGAAATTTGGTCGTCGTTTCCAATTAATTGTGTTTGGTTGTTCATCATGAAGGCAAAACCATGTCCGAGGCCATGCCCTTCAGCTGATGGTCGTTTGGGCTGAACCATTTGGATTGTGTGTTGTTTTTCATGCGTTTGTTTGTAGAAATAACAGTCTTTCATCAAATGATTTCTTCTTCCACAATGATCACATTTAATATTTGATGATTTATAGGGAGAGTGTTGCGAGTTTTTGAATTTTCTTTGAGATTTGACTTTATTTCGTAGAAAGTTATTCTTCTTCCTCTTTGGAATATGTTTCAAATTATTCGCATCAGTAACCCTTGTACTTGATTGGGTACTGCTTAATTGAAGAACTTTCAAACTTGTTGTTGTTATGTCTTGTTCCATCTTCACTGCCTGATCAAGTAGTCTTGTCTTCACAAAAGATAAATTCAAATTATCTTCACTCAATGTTTCCAGTGCCGTAATTACTCCGTCATAAGAAGATGGTAAAGTGAGCAACAGATGCGAAATTTTATCCATCTCATCTAGTTTGGCACCTGCTGAGAGTAATTCGGTAATAAGATCATCAAAGTGAGTGAAATGTAGTAACAAATTCATATCAGCACCTAATTTCATGTTTAGTAGTCTTTTTCTCAATGCCAGTTGAGTAGCTAGACTTCTTCGCTCATAAATCGCATCTAAACTTCGGAATATGCCATTTGCTGTAGATTGGCCTTTCGCAAATCCCAAGAATGAGTCACTCAATAACTCGACAATAACACTTCGGGCACTCAGATTACGTTTTTTCCACTCGTCACTCGGTTCTTCAGGAACTTCTTCCTCGATGACATTCAGAAGATCTAATTCCGCCAGTAACGACTTGACACGAAATTTCCACACACTATACCGTTCGCCGTTAAACTGTTGAATGTTTCTCTTATTGTTCTTGCTTTCCATTTTTTATTTTCCTGAGAATGGATAGTACACGTAAAACACTATGTAAAATTCTTTTTAGTCTTTACGCGAATTCTGGGCCCATAACCTTTTAAAATAAACGCAGGTTACAGGGACAAAAGAAATCAAACACATAAAATAGTGTCGATGATCTATATTCGATTATCTTCAAAAGACTAACACACAATTATTTCCAGCAGACTCTCTACTTCCTAGTTTTGTTTATATAAAACACGTGGCATATACTCGGAACTGTATTTATGAAAATACCCTTATTCAGCTAGACATTCACGGCGCCCTGAATCTTATTTGTTTTATGTTTATAGTTCAGTGACTCGAGTTTTGATTTTTGCCTAACTGATAATATATTCAACACTCTTGATGATTAAATTGGTGCTAACATTACAATTACTTCAACTACTCGGTAATGAAAACAATCAATCAATCAACACTTCATTTGAAAGGCCGTTTTGACCTCTTCTCAACGGTACTATGACTATGAACCGAGTATGAACTCTCATTCATTAGCTGACATTGATGTTTTTTAGATTTTTTCAGAAGAAAGTTATTTACAACGAAGTCCAACACAATCACTCTTGATGTTTGAATGATCGTGTTGTTGATAATGTTGTCGACTTCATCAAACTTGCTGAGTTCGAATGCGAAGATAATCATGTGACACCTCGTTTGAAAGGTCTTTTTTTTCTCTTATCAACGGTATGATAAGAATTCTTGATCTTTAGTGACATCGTCGTGTTGATCATCATCAGCATCATTATTTCAAATTTCTTGCAGACGCCTTCAGTATATTCGACTTGAGCTATAACGACTCCTACGGTCCTCTTCTGAACAAAGTGCCCTTATTTCCAAAATGCAGCACTAATCGGTGGAGTAAGTCGGTGTTTTTTCTTGCTAGTTGCGCCAAGCTTATAATGGGGAAGTTTCCTTCAGATGCATTTTCATAAAATAAGTTCGGAACTCTCCAGTTTTATTTCCACGCTGTACAGAACGGCGACCGATAAAGTCCAAGTGACGTACATTCTAAATCTAGTTTGAAAATAGCTGATGGTGAAGAATATAGCTGGCGGATAACTAACGAATGAAAAACGGATGAAAAAAATAGAAGAAGAAGTAAAACTGGTAAACAAAAACATACATAACCACAAATGCACTCGGAGCAGGAACGCAGAAGGTAGTTGGCTTCATTCTGACAGGTTATCGTTTTGTTACTTATGTATTGAAATATCTCGAATAGAGCTCGATCCTACTCGAAAATATCATTGAATCAAATAATCACTATCGACTACATTCCATGATACTATCTTTCCTCATCATCGGTCTGAACAAAATGAAGCCGACACCCATGACTCATTCCTCTTGTTGTGCCTGTCAGTATTTTGAGTGGTGTGGACGGACTCGAAGCAGCTCGAAGTATTAAGCGCTGTTGCAAGATATGATCTGCAACTTTCCTAGAAAATAGATGCGTTTTGTTAAGGAACGAATTCATTAGCAAAAAAAATGACGGACAAGTTATGAATAACATATTGCAATATAACGATAGTGTAAATTTATAGATACTATCGCGTTATATCATAATTTAGCTTCATTAGTAATCAAATTCATTCAGCCAATGAGAGATTTATAAACAAAAAAAAGTACGATAGTAGAACCTGTTATATCCCATTGCTGTTATGATATAGTTATTATGCATTCAAAGAACAATTTCCGGAAATCTAGACATATTGATGATGTCACAGGGACAGGGAATCGTATTTTGACTCTGTGTGAATGTGGATTTTCAGTAAGTAAGTCATAGGAATGGTGGAGGAGCCAAGTTCCTCTTTTATTTATTTTTTTCTGAAGTGAAATTTGATTTTCCGAAAAAAAGAAAAAATACGTAGATATTATTTTTTTACAAACTTCACAGTGAGATGAATACCTCAATATAGGAAGCTTCCCCATTGGCAGTGCTCTGTTCTAGCTCACTGCTATATTAGTTTAGATCTCGGCTTACATACCTTTTCTTTTCCAAGCATACTCCAACTTAGCATAGTCATTATTGCAGATGTTTATTAATTTCATTCGAACTGGTTTTCGAACGGATAATCTTCGTGAAATTTCACCTTGACACAGAACTTGAAAATAAAAGTGGAATTAATGTTTGATCGTGTTCATACTCTGCCATTGCGCTCCTTTTTATAGAAACGAAGTTGAAGAAAGTTGTTTTTATGATACGTTCGTGCGGACCGCAGACGGAAGTCGAAAATACATTGATGGAATGATAATGGACTGTTTGGAATTATTTTTCATTTCATTATTCAAACGAACGAACTTTACGCATCTGATCTAGTGATTTTCTGCTAGCTTTGTATATTTTTTCGAATAATTATACCGGAAAATTTCATACGCGAGGAAAGATGACGCGAAATCATCAGAAGGTCATCTATTTGTACCTATCATGGTTCATGATTCAACGAAACAATGAAGCATACTTCTTTGTTTTACCAGGTGGGCATACAGGATGATTAATTATTGTTCCAAAAAATCAAGTGAGCAATACTTGAACATTCGAAAATTATTAAGGACATACTCCACCTTTTCCTATTGTATTTCAGAATAGTCGATTGATTTTTTTTCTGAAATCATCAGAGCAACATAGTTTTTCCACGAAACCTATTTTCAAAAATATATCATTGCATTTTCCAATCCAACATAATTTTCTGAATCTAATGTGATTAATTAATTTCAATTCTTCATCTTTGCAACTGAAGGGAATGAGGGACGGTGTATTACGAGGTGCATTATGATTCTTTTACACACAGTAGGTTGGTACTTTGTTTGCTGCGTTCACACCGCTTCATCATCCATAGAGCTCTTCTCGTCTTAGTTATCACTGTTTTCGAAAACACCACAAATAACCCACACATATTTTTCAAGGTCATCACGAAACCCCCCATCATTTCAATACGCCTTCCATGATAAATTTTATCGTTATTTTCAGGCCTACCACCGCCCGCATCATTCAACCACCACCACAACAACTGGACGACCCTCCAGAATCCAACCCCTGCCCCGCAAAACGGTTCCTCAAACGACACCCTAAATTATAGCGTTAACGGCGCCTCGAACGGTTCATTTAACGGCGCCTCGAACGGTTCATTTAACGGCGCCTCGAACGGCTCATTTAACGGCGCACCGAACGGTTCATTTAACGGCGCCTCCAACGGTTCATTTAACGGCGCTTCGAGCGGCGCTTTGAACGGTGCCAACATGGAGGACAAGTATGCAGCGCTCAAAGACTTAGACAACGAGATCAAATCACAGAAGAACGGTCACGTGGACTGGGGCTCGACGGGATCGAACGGGTCGTTGTACAGCTCCCCCACCCCCACTGGGTCGGTGTATAGTTCGCCGTCGCCCCAGGGGTCCATTTTCGGGTCGCCTAGTCAAGGTAGGATATCGTTTTTTTTTCAAATTTATTTATTTTTTCTTCTTGCTTCATTGAGGTCCTTTCAAGAAATGGTGTGTACGCCTCTGGATTTCTGCTATCAGCACAGACTATTGATATAGGGAAAACTATGGTTTTCTTTGCGGAAAATTCAAATCGTGATATTTATCCCTTTAGAAAATAGCTCGGAAAACATTTATAACAAAACAAACTGTAAAAAAATATTTGTTTTCATCGAAAAATTGTATATTACAGAAGGTATCCTTGTGATTCTTTTCAGAATTTTGAATTATCATATCTGTCGAGCAAATGTCCCCATTTTGTTCCACGACATTTTTGTTCGTTTTTCATTCAAGCCACTCAAGAAAAATAGTTATTTATTATACAAGGGAAAAAAGTAGTAGATTTTAGCTCCAGGGTGTGTTGACAAAAAACCGTGAGCTAAAATCTAATATTTTTCCCGTGTATAATGCACTATTTTTTTCTGTGACAGAAGGAAAGATGAATCAATATTGAGAAGATATTAAATTATTTTGAAATCTGACAATTCTAGACGTGAAATTTTAAGTTTTTAACAGTAGGGACACCTGCGTTATAGGCATCTTTATCATTCTTTTGAAGTAATCAAATATCTGATATCACTCCTGTCAGTCTAATTCTGTGTTTTGATTTCAAAAAATTGCGAATTTAGTAGTTGTTTAGTAATATACGTAACCGCGAAGTCGAATGGAAGATAAAAGGACTTTCAGTTCTTTCTCGGAGACGGTATTATTTACTCATTTTTCGGAACTATAGCACAACAAAAGCCATCAACAGTGTATATATATGTGGTATATATCCGGGAAAAAAGTACTCACCTCTTTCCCACGGGAAAGAAGTAATTTATGAAAAGTGAGATTTTATAACCTGCCAACAGAGATGAAATGCCAAACTTTTTTCCCGTCACAGAAAAAAATTATATTTTTATGTTCATTCGACGGATCAATTCCAAATAATTCAGAAATTACGGTTTTTCCAATGTTTTACCTTCTAAGAAGCAAGAAAGACACCCGTGAAGTCAACATATTGAATATATACGGTTTTTTTTTGTTTCACTCGCAATTTTCATTTCATAAATCATATTTCCAATATAATTTCAGGTCAGTTTATGGCCACTTTCCCCCCGACCCAAGAAACCCACCCTGCCAACGTTTCTAACCCTTTCGGAAGCAACGGCGGTGCCTGGGGACACCCCAACAGTACCGGCAACCATCAACAACAAGCGTTCGCCAACCCTTTCAGGGACTCGGGCAAATCTAACGGATTTTCGCAGGTCTTCCAGCCCATTGCCGCCTATCCGGTTAACGGGACCAACGGTTGGGCGCAAAATCCGTTCAAGGTACGTAACTGACACATAAATGAAACATTAATGATACATGGGTGTAACAAGATAATTAATTTCTTCGTGCGAAACCCTTTCATGGTAGAGGGAATGAGAAATTTAAAATGTTACGTAACTGATACGTAATCGATACGTATTTGTTACATGGATGATACATGTTTGATACATGAATGAAACATTGTTTATTTTTTTTTTAGGTAGGAGGCACGAATCTGAATTCGAATAATCCGTTTTTATGAGACAATGGATCACAGATACACCGATGCCAGTGTGCCCTATAACAATATTCAAGTCATAGCTCACGTTTTACAAAGTTAACTCATTATAAAAAGTTGCATAATATATTATTATTATTATATCTCTCTATTCACCTCTCTAATTTTAGTTGTACGATTTTCTACTAATGCCAGTATTTTTTTGCTAAATTGTGTTTTCTTGTTGTGGAATCTGAATTATAAAAATTATTTGTTGAATTAAAAAAGAAAAATTATAGGTATGTAATTGAATTGAATCACGTGCATCCAACTGTTTACTGGCATAGTGGAAAATCTAGAGTTTCACCAGGCGAAAGATCAAAATATCGACGGACAACTTGTTGTCGGCTCGTTTTAGCTTTATTATATAATTTATTTTTATTTTGTTGATGGTGTATTTATTTATTATCCCGCTGTGACATTCAGAAGCGCGAAATATTCAAAGTTAGGTATGCCAAAAAAGCTGTCGTCTACTATAACATACTTGTATAACTGTCATTAATTTTGTAGGTTATGTCTTAAGGTATTTCCTAGGTATCCCAACATAAAAATGAAAAAAAATGACCACGAAACATACACACTGGAAAAATTATGTTTCTACGGCTATAACACAAAATTGCTCTTTACTGTGTGCGATCAATAAGGTACTTTGCATTTCTTCAGTGTTATTATTTCACAAAATCTCATCTCCCATGAAATGTCAAATTTCAAGCAATGACAATACAGTGTGTCCCACTTATCAAGCTCACCATGGGTATCTTTTTAACGGTGAGAGATACGAGGTCGGTTAAATGACACCAAATGTGGAGTTTGTCAAGGCCAACTATAATGTGAAAAAATATTTTGATAAAATCTATTCGTTTTTGTTTTATACGCAAAAAACAGATTCTGATCATTTTCATGTCTCCTCCGTAACTTCTTTATTTATGAAAATATTCAAATAGGAATTTCATATTCTCATGGCAGTTTTTTGAAGTGATTTCGAAAAAAATATGGAATTTATACCAACTCTTCTAGAATTTGAGATATCAGCACCAACTTTAGTTTTTCAAATGTAGGTCATAGCTCACTATGACTTAGTTACAAATAACTTTTTTTTCTCTTACAGATGATATGTCGCAGTAATAGTTTTGTGTTGATTACAACGGAGTCATCGTCATTTATACAAAAACAAAAAATTATTTGGAAGCCGCCATCTTGAATTTATAAATTATAACAAAAAAAATCATGATCTCCGACCTCAAAAACCCCCACTCACCAATTTTGAATGGAATCGGACCAAATCTTGTCCGCTATCTTGGAGCAGCCATTTTTTTTAATTTCAACAAAAATTCCATAACTACGATTAACTTGAAATTTGGCAGGTGTTCATAATTTCGGTGACAATACATTATGGAATTTTTGTTGAAACTAAAAAAAAAATGGCTGCTCAAAGATGGCGGACAAGATTTGGTCCGATTCCATTCAAAATTGGTGAGAGGGGGTTTTTGAGGTCGGAGATCATGATTTTTTTGTTAAAATTTATAAATTCAAGATGGCGGCTTCCAAATAATTTTTTGTTTTTGTATAAATGACGATAACTCCGTTGTAATCAACACAAAACTATCATATCATCTGCAAGAGAAAAAAAAGTTATTTGTAACTAAGTCATAGTGAGCTATGACCTACATTTGAAAAACAAAAGTTGGTGCTGATATCTCAAATTCTAGAAGAGTTGGTATAAATTTCATATTTTTCTCGAAATCACTTTGAAAAACTGCCATGAGAATGTGAAATTCCTGTATGAATATTTTCATAAATAAAGAAGTTACGGAGGAGACATGAAAATGGCCAAAATCTGTTTTTTGCGTATAAAACAAAAACGAATAGATTTTATGAAAATATTTTTTCACATTATAGTTGGCCTTGACAAACTCCACATTTGGTGTCATTTAACCGACCTCGTATCTCTCACCGTTAAAAAGATACCCATGGTGAGCATGGTAAGTGGGACACACATGGCTACAAGCCGAAGAAATCAAAAATTTCGCTGTTATTTGTTACAGCCGTAGAAAAAGTATAGTGTATTACTCGCACGGAATGCTATTTTTTCCCACTCCTATGATTGCAGCATTCCCAAACTTCACTCTTTTGGGAACAATATACTATTTTTCTTTAATGTTTTTTTCGAGGTTATTTTTTTCACTATAACGTAGGGGAATCCCACTGTAGGATAGGTTCAAAGTACGCTTGCTAGATTCAACGGTTGCCTTCAATTTGGGTATTTTTCCATTTTTCCAAGCACTCATATACTAAACCTGTAGAACAACTTGGGCTGTATTTTTTTATTTCTATGTGTATATAAAGACTTTAACTGTTCTGCAAGTGCTAGACCATTTTTTTTATAGGATTGTGTCTTTTCCTTTTGTTTTGATAAAAAAAACGAACAAAGGTGTACAGAGTGTGTCCAGGATTTTATGGAATCAGTACATTGAATTTGAAAAAAATATATCAAAGAAATAAGAATGTTTTGAATCTTGAAAATTTCAGAGTTGAAAATTGGACAATGATTTTCCGTGGTTTCACTAGTTGACTATTACAACTTTCACGCAAGATCCCTCTAAAGATTAGTTCATGCAGTTTTCATTTACGAATTTTTCTGGTCAAAAATATTTCACACCATAAAATTCAGGTACAGATAATTGTCGGAAATACAAATCAGAAATTTCCACTAGATATCATTGTGGTGTTTTGCATCGTTTTTTCGAGCATTTGTGATCCTTATTTTCTGACACTCTGTAGAAGCCATTTCACTTTCGTGCTGAATAACACAAGGCACAATACCGGATGTTTAGCGAAACCAGTGACCAATAGGGAAAGAGAATTTTAGGAAATATGTTGTAGCTCAGCCCATGTACTGGATCTGGGTGTAAGAATAAAAGAGAAACCACAAATTCTTAGGGTGAATGCAAATTAATTTAACAAATCTTATGTATTCAAACAATCAGAGGGCTCTAATTTGGAAAATAATAATATATTGTATTTAATTTATCTCACAAAAATCTGTGATGTTTTAGATTTGTTTCTCATTTTAAACATGATTGCACATTCTGTGATACACAAAAATTATGAAAGTAACTCTGTGTCTTCAAACAATGGATCTAAATTTGGCTGCCAGTTATTTTTTGATGTTAATTTTTTTTCTGTAGAAATAAAATTGACAGCAGTAAACAAGTGAGTATTATTCCGTCCGGGATGATAACTGTAACATGACAAATAACTTAAGAGTCTATTGAGAGCACAATTTATTCTGTATATTCATGTCAAAAAAAAAAGGTTGTGTAAATAAATTGTTTAACACCATGGTTTGTGTGTTTCCTTGAATCCCAAATAGCCCAGAAAATAGATTTCAAGTCATTTTCAGAAGACTCATGAAATTTCAAAAGAACATTACTTATCTCATCATCAAAATTTGTATCCTCTGCCTATTGTGAACTATATTGAAGCAGGCGAGTGCCCTGTTGGGATATTTTGTGATCTCAGCAGGGCATTCAACTGTCAATCATAAGATTCTCTTAGACAAACTATTCCGTTATGGCATACACATTAGCATGGATAACAGACTATCTATCTTATAGCAAACAATACGTCGCTATTAACAACGCAACTTCCAGCATGGTCTTCTCTGAATTGGGAGTGCCTCAAGGGTCGATATTGGGACCCATATTGTTTGTTTTGTATATAAATGATTTGGAATATTCAATTCCTGGAACATTCATAACAATGTATGCAGACGACACGTCAATTATAATTTCTGACAGATCAGATTCAGTTTTGAAAAAAAAATGTGCCAAAGTTTTTGAAAATATCAACAAATGGTTTTCTGCAAACAATTTGTTTTTGAACGCGAAAAAAACAGATTCAATGAGGTTCCATCATCGGCAACGGAGGTGTGATATCATAAGCTTTAGAGCTAATGATAATTCTGACACTATAACAACCGAGTGTGAGAGCTTGAAATTTTTAGGTCTTCACATTGATGAACATTTAAATTGGCAGAATCACTGTGATTTTCTAATAAAAAAATTAACTCTACTTCATTTCAGTTCAGGATTATAAGGCAGGTTTTAAATGATGATCAGCTGCTGAAGCTGTACTTTGCTCAGGTGGATTCCAGACTGAGATATGGAGTGTACTACTGGGGGTTTTCCTCTAGCTGCTCTGATGTCTTCATAGCACAAAAAAAAACTCGTACGAATCATTAGTGGCATAGAGGTCTCTTTGATTCATGCAGACCAGCTTTTAGAAATTTTAAAATTTCAACTGTCCCTAGTCTTTTAAGTTTTGACTTGTGCTTATCTCTGTTCCAGAATAGAAATAAATTCTTTGTACTGAATAAATGTAAACATAATATTGATACAAGACAAAAAAACAATGTTTTTGTACCATTATATGGAAAAAACAAATTAGCTTTCGAATCTCCTGACCAGATGGCTCCATGTGTTTATAATTTGATACCAGATTTTATAAAAGAATCCAAAACTGTTTCAATGTTTAAACGAACACTCAAGATTCATCTTGTTGATGTGTTATTATAGTTTTGAAGAATTTTTGTGTATAAGTAGGTAGTTTTCGTCCCCTTTTTTTCAGGATTTTTTTAATCTCTGATCTCCTTCTCTCTTTTTTGTTTCTTAATGATTCCTATACAAATTTTGTAACTTTGTCTTAAAGGAAAATAAAGATTATTATATTGATGACAAGTAATGTCTGTTTACCATTATTTTTCTCAGTACCTAACTCAAATTTTACTCAAATGCTACTACAATCCTGAAATTTACAAGTTTTTTTGGAAATTGTGGTAAATATGTTCTGGGTAAGTACAAATGGAAGTTAAAAAAAAAATTGCTACATAAGTTTCTGCTGAATGTATTTTTTCAAAAACATAGTAAGGAGAGGAAATTTGATTTCTCAGCAATACAACTCAAATGTCTACAGATATCTCTGTTTTTTTAAACATTAAATCATATTCCATTATATTAACAAGATGAACATTTTCCAATGGGTGAATAGGTACAATTTTTGTTGTGACAAAACATGCAATTTACTATTCACTCAAGTTAAAGTTTTTCAACAAGAGAATCAGCATCAAGCCTGAACAACTTAATACAAATCATCCAGAGTTAACGCAAGATCTTCAACCCCTTCATCTTCTGAGACTTCTTTCCCTTGTCCCCAGAAGATGCTGCTTCCCTAGTATCAGTAGCCATCACTTCATCAGTCCCATCTGACCTCTCTTGCAATTGGGTCTTCAATGTCTTCTTGATATTGACAATTTCATTCTCTATATCAGATTTTCTTTGCATAGACCTAGTTTTTTCCATATTGGCCCTATGAATCTGGCTTTCCACACAACTGAGGACCCCTTCACAAGAAGAACACCAGTCTTGAAGGCAGTTAACTATCACATTGATATCTTCAGCACGGATATCCCTACCTATGGCATAATCAACTTCCAGCTGGCTGTTTTTTTGGTCTAATTTTCCATGAATTATATCAGCATAGATAGCTTCAATGATGAGATCTTCTAAGTCTCTTACATTCTTTATATCCAGTTCTACTAGCAGAGTATTATAGGGTATACACTTGGATTTTGTAGCTAAAGTTACAATGGTGAGGTGCTGTAGTTTCTTTCTTTGAGCAGGTGACAACTCCAACAAGTCCTTCTGATTTGCTAAGTAATCTTTATACGTTCCAAAGGAGAATAATTCTAGAGTGTTCAGGTATTTTTTATCAGCAGTGTTGGCCAGTTCCTGCAAGCTAGGCATGTCCAGTAGTTCTCCGAAAACGTACACTCCGGGGGCTTCCAAGACTTGCTTTATCAGTTCGGTGCATGCTGCCCCTTTGGCACTTTTCGCCAAGATCACGAATTGTTCTAGGACGTTTCCAGTCAGTGAGCTTTTGTCAACAACCATATTTTATTCGAAAAAAAGTTTCACCGATATCAGAAACATAAACAAATATGAAATACGACGTGCAATCAATTCAGCGTTGCCAGACCGGCAACTTGAAATGTACTAAAAGAGCACCGAAGAAAGTACTAGTTTTTCATTTAAATTTCCTACTGATCAGTAAGGATAGGAAGGAGGGTAGGGGGAGAGGGAAATAGACCAGGAAAAAATAATTAAAACTCATTTACTGAATATAGTGAATATCTCATTTCTCATTAGTCAAAACACTTCAAAACAATCAATCGTCCTTCTGTCATTCAGTTTTATTCATAATCATAATTTTGAGCAAACGTGAAAACAATTGACAAATAACAATATACAATATTGACACGTTATGAACTGTATAGTGCATATTATTACAAAAAGTCACTATAGTACAGACATGAGACATAAGCACAAAACTCAAAACTTCGTTTGAATGGAAGGCAATAAATGAGATTTCACTGATATTGCACATAGAACTTTTCTTTGGTGCATTTCGGTAATGTGGACATTTCGATATTCCAAGTTAAAACGTGGAAAACGAACGAATTTTGCGATCGGCGTACTAGACAGTGAAAAAGTACTAGATTACTAGATCTAGTACTAAAGTATCAGGTCTGGCAACGCTGCCAATACTAATGTCAGTGTGTCAAGATGTCATGTCATTCTTCTTCTTTTTTTGGCCTTGTTCTTTGCTGTTAAACGCTTTCTTAAACTGTCAACTTAGAACTTCAAAACGTGATTTCAAATCTTGTTGTACTGGGTGTCTCAAATCCAAAAACCCAAATCATTAAATAAAAAACCATTTATGTATATTATTAATCAGCAATAAATAATGAAAAATAGCTAATAGTTCATGTGTGAATAATAATCCTGAAACAGCTGCACATAAATCTCTTTCTCAGCTTGTGTCATTGTAGCAATGATAGTATCATTTATATCAGTGATAGAATAGGTCTTGTTGCCAACAAGAACTGTTGGAATGTTATCATTTTCATCATCCTCACTTTCAATACTGCCTATATCACCTATTTCATCTCTAACCTCATTCAATTCATCTGAACTGGAATCAGAGTCATTATTGGTGTTAAGGCCCTTAATGGCATTGGCAGCACTGTTGTTTGCTGGTCGCTTTTCATGTGCTAGAAGTACTGACATGATATCATCATTCTTAGCTGTTGTACTACCACCTGTAAAGAAAAAACACAGAACTGCAACATTCCTTAGCAGAAAAACAATACAGAAACATACCAGCACTCTCAGCTGCATCTAGTAAACCATCAGCAGCAGCATTGGAATCCTGTGTGTCCATATTAGTAATAACTGTACTCTCAGTCATCCAGATTGGTTGTTCTTTCCTATTAACACTGGAAGTGTTCTCTTCACCAATAGTGATATCAACCCTAGCTTCTTCCACTGCAAATCCAGACTTTCTTGTTGCTTCCCCTGACCATTCTTGACCAGGCAGGGGTGCATTTGATTTTTTATCAAGCCCCCTGATAGTGCTGATATCTACTGGTTCAGGTTCCAACACTTCTGGTGCTAGTTTGATTCCTTCTACTTCACGCAACAGAATGTACAGAGGATCTAGTTGTTCATTGAACTTAGCAAGTAATAGTCTAGAGTCTTTTTTTGGTAATGCTGAGGAATCTTCTTCAACAACTTCTCTGCAGTAAGTACAATGGAACTCACTTGTGGTGAAGTCAAACAGCTGATCAGCTTCCAAATCAGTGAAGGTCTTCAAGCACCCAGGGCACTTGAAGCTGGCTCTGCTAGTAGCATCACGTTCTTCAGTCTCTAGCCGTTTTCTCATCAAGTCCAACTTGTATTTTATCACATTGACGAATGTCTTGTAATTGATGAAGTAGTAGTTCACCTTTTGTGCTTTGCCATCTGCGCCCGTTTCCATTTTCAGTCGCACTTGTAAGAACTTGTCATTCTTCAAAATGGCTATTCTGGCTCTTAGCATTTTTCTTTCAAATCTTAAGAGCTCGCATATGTCGTCTTCTTTCATGCAAGGATTCCGCACCAGCATGTCTATGATCAAAGCATCGTCTATGGAATAGAAGCCTCTGACCACTAATCTGGCTAGTTGTTTCAGGCTACTGGGGACTTCCGTTACTAGTTTTTCTTCGGTCATTATGACCTCGATATTGAATGGATCTTTTGCAATAATTCACATCACGATAACTAACTTCTCATTCCAATTTGTTGTATTCAACAATCCAAACAAAATCCAAGTAAAAGGACTAAGGAGTAAAATTGAGGTTAGAAAATAAAAAACAAAAATGAAAACACTGACACAGAACACAATGATTGAGAAATGAGATAGAGAACATGGAGAAAACAGTTATGTGGTTCTGTGTCAAAAGTTGAAAGAAAAGGAAAAACCTAACCTCAAACTAAAAACGACGTGAGGTGACTGGACTTGGTGACCGTGTGTTGAAAAATTTCAAACTTCCCTTGATAACTAATGAAAATATTGCATCATAATCGATATTATTCTTATCAGAAGTCCTAATTTCAAAGTCTGAGTAGTCCGGAACAAGTAAACTGCTGGTAATACTTCTATTTCAAAGATCCATATGTTTGGGAACTAATGGATATATAGTTTCAGAAAACCAACAAGCCCAATAATGGCCTCTACAATGACTGCAAAAGAAGTGAGAAATGCCTACATAGATTTCTTCAAAGAAAAAGAACATGTCTATGTCCATTCCTCATCCACAATACCCCTGGATGATCCTACATTACTGTTTGCCAATGCTGGGATGAATCAGTACAAGTCCATCTTTCTGGGCTCAGTAGACCCCAATAGTGATTTGTCCAAACTTGTTCGTGCTGTCAACACCCAGAAATGCATACGGGCAGGGGGCAAACACAATGATCTAGATGATGTTGGTAAAGATGTGTACCATCACACCTTTTTTGAGATGATGGGGAATTGGTCATTTGGGGACTATTTCAAGAAAGAAGTGTGCACTTGGGCTTGGGAATTCTTGACCCTGAGACTCAATCTGCCAGCAGATAGGCTCTATGTTACTTATTTTGGAGGTGATCCTTCTTCTGGCTTGGAACCTGATGATGAATGCAAACAAATCTGGCTCAGTCTTGGTGTGGCACCTACACATGTACTGCCTGGCTCTATGAAAGACAATTTTTGGGAAATGGGAGAGACTGGGCCTTGTGGACCCTGCTCAGAACTCCATTTTGACAGGATAGGGGGTAGGGAAGTGCCTCATTTAGTCAATATGGATGATCCTGATGTTCTGGAGATTTGGAATCTTGTGTTTATACAGTACAACAGGGAATCTGATGGTACCTTGAAATCTCTGCCCAAAAAACACATTGATTGTGGCCTGGGATTGGAAAGACTGGTTTCAGTCATTCAGAATAAAAGGTCTGTATAATATCATATTCATATTTTCACCTTGAAGAAACACCAATTCATTAGTTTAGCATTGTCTTTACAGAATCAATTCTGATACTTCTGATTTCAAAGATAATAGGAGTATTCATCAATTCACTTCCCATTTTAACCCAGATTTCAATATGAATAAATGTTTTTTTTTTAAATACTAATTCCATATAATAGGTCCAACTATGATACAGACCTGTTTGTCCCTCTATTTGAGGCAATTCAAAGAGGTACAGGTGCCCCATCTTATGGAGGCAAAGTTGGAGATGAAGACAAAGATGGCATTGACATGGCATACAGAGTGTTGGCTGATCATGCTAGAACATTGACCATTGCTTTGTCTGATGGTGGGAATCCTGACAACACTGGAAGAGGGTAAGAAATACTAATACAAGATACAAGGGAAGCATAATTTTTACTTTACAGATATGTACTGAGGAGAATTTTGAGACGTGCTGTACGGTATGCTACAGAAAAACTCAATGCCAAGCCAGGATTTTTCTCCACATTAGTGAAAACTGTAGTGGAAATACTGGGTGATACTTTTCCAGAAATAAAAAAAAATCCCCAAGGTAACATAACTTCACTATCTGTAACAAATTGGGGTTTCAGTATTTTTGTTGAAGGTATTATGGATATAATAAATGAGGAGGAAGAGCAGTTTTTGAAAACACTGTTGAGAGGTAGAAATCTTCTTAACAGAACCATTTCAAAGTTGGGCAGCAACTGTAAAATTCTACCTGGAGATGTAGCATGGAGGTTATATGACACTTATGGTTTCCCAGTGGATTTAACATTGTTGATGGCAGAGGAAAAAGGTCTCAGTATTGATATGGAAGTGTATGAGGAATCCAAAAAGCAGGCTCAAATTGCTTCTCAGGTATACCATTATAGAATGCTCTGCATTGAACTTTCCCAGATTTTGTCTACTGATTTCAAGCCAATTTTATCAGATCAACTCACCACACATTCACTTTATTCTACAGAGGAAGCAAATAAAAAAAAGTTGTTCTCATCATAGATTGAAACACATCAGAAATACACTTTTGAACCAATTCAGAGATATGTAGATATATTATGTATTTTCAAGAACTTTGGCCATCTGAAAATCCAAAAAAATAATGTGAGTGAATTGAGAATTTTTCTGTTACATTAGGGAAAAGGTACTGGAGTAGCAGATACCATAAACCTTGATGTTCACGCCATAACAGAGCTCCAAGACAGAGGTGTCCCTCCCACTGATGATTCTTATAAATACTCCTATTCCTCTACACAAAATGCCGATTCTGACTATACTTTCGCCCCATGCGAAGCCACCGTGATAGCCTTGAGGGCCGATAAACAATTTGTGGACCAAGTAACTACAGGTAATGTGCACGGTCTTCTTCAGAGAACATATTGAACATTGGCATATTCTCTGAAGATGACTGTACATTTTATTGTGTTTATTGATAGGTCAAGAGTGTGGAATTCTACTGGACAAAACAAACTTTTATGCTGAGCAGGGAGGTCAGATCTATGATACAGGGTATTTGGTCAAAGCTAGTGATGACAGCGTCGAATTTTCTGTAAAGAATGTGCAAGTTAGAGGAGGTTATGTCATCCATATTGGCAATATGGAGGGCACTTTGTGCAAGGGGGACACTGTGACTTTGCATGTGGATATCTCTCGGAGGTAAGAGATCAGCTTCAATATATATTTGTTAAATCACCTCCTTGTATGAGTTGTCGCCAGAAAAAGCTATGATTCCCAAGAAACTACTGATGTCTGTTAGTGAAATGTGAAACATGTCCACGTCAATGAAGATTGTCCACCACATCCCGCCACTGAAATATGAGGTTAGAGTTGGTAGAACTGATGAATATACTTCTTCTTTTCCTGTCATTTGGCCTCTAACTACAATTTCTTCTTCTCTGTCAATGTCAGAATTGGTGCTAAAGTTCCACAGTGAGAGTTAAAAAACGTAATTCCGCTCAAGTTTTTCCATAACTTGTGGTTTTCTATTAGTTTTAACACAGAATATTTTGGATAAAACAGGACACAGTCTTTAGGGCTATCCGGCAAAATTTTGGGATTTTTGGCTTTGACATTGACCTCACCTTTTAGTAGCGCCAACTGGCGAGGCTGAAAATCTTATTCCAACAGTCAAGGTTGGTAGAACTGAGGATTATTTATACCAATTATTATTATTTCTATCAACCTTGCAAACAGCTCCATCCGTTGTGCAATAAAGAGAACCAAAATGAAAAACTGGTACATTTTTCTGGAAATCTTCCACGTTTTCTCAGGAAATCTTATACAATACCCAAAACAACAGTCAAGTTCAGTTCATATTCAGACAGATAACTAGTTAGATAGTTCTCAACTTTTTACTGTTTCATTTTTGTTCAATTTGGATTATCCCTCATCATAATTTCATAATTTTATGATTCCATTGTAATAAAAAAGTGAATGAGACTCACCTATTCGTCGACCATTGGAAGCACCCGAGCACCTTTCAATAAATCTCATGAAAACTACCACTCAGTACTCAGCTAAGTACCTACCTCTATAAATGTTTTAGTAGGTACAGTCGTCTTCAGAGATCATGTCGCGGTTGGACGGTGTCAGCGCTCTTATTGCAGGAATTATTAGGAATGCCATCATCGTCCATGTGCGACATGTTTTCTGAAGATGACTGTACATATTGATATGAAGAGAAACCGAAATACACATCAGCACATCACTACAACTGAAAAAATGTTTCAAAAAGATTTCAAATACCACTTTTATTTGACAATTGACAGCGACGTGACAGTTTTCGGAAGTGGCTACCGACACGACATCGCGGCAACATAGTATATTTCACGAATGTAGCACTCATTGGTAGCACTAAACTTGAAAAAAATGCGAGATAAATCATTGGATGAAACATAAAAACAAAATTTCGAAATCTTGTTTATAATGGGGCTGAACAATCTTCCATTTTCTGTTACAGACGGCTCATCATGAGCAACCACACCGGCACCCACATCCTAAACCACGCCCTTCGCAAAGTCCTGGGCACCGAAGCCGACCAAAGGGGCTCTCTTGTAGCCCCCGACAGGCTCCGCTTCGATTTCACCAACAAGGGAGCCCTAACCACCGACCAAGTCAGACTCGCCGAGGAGAGCTCCAAAGAGTTGATCTCCAGGAACGAGCAAGTCTTCGCCAAAGAGGCTAGCCTCGGGGTCGCGAAGACGATCAAGGGGCTACGCGCTGTCTTCGACGAGACTTATCCTGATCCAGTGAGAGTGGTTTCCGTAGGAGTGCCAGTGGAGCAGCTCGAAAGCGATCCCTTCAGCCCGGCGGGGGACCAAACGTCGATAGAATTCTGCGGAGGCACTCACGTGCAGTACTCGGGGCACATCGGTGATTTCGTCATCAGCAGCGAGGAGGCTATAGCCAAAGGAATCAGGAGGATAGTCGCGCTAACCGGGCCAGAGGCTACTAAGGCTCTAAAACGGAAAGAGCTGCTGGAAAATAGGCTCAACGAGCTGAAATCTCATATTGCTGAGGACAAACTGGGGGGCAACAGCAAGGAACACGTGAGGAGCATCGTGGAGTTGACGGACGAGGTGTCTCAGGCTCTGATACCTTACTGGAAGAAAGACGAGATTAGGAATACTTTGAAGAACCTGAAGAAGACTTTGGATGACAAAGAGAGAGCTGCTAAAACAGCGGTTGCTGGTAAAGTTGTTGAGGAAATCAAAGATTTTCTCAAGGAGCACCCCAATATGGAAATTCTGGTCAAGGAACTGAAGGCTTTCAACAATACTAAGGCTCTGGATACTGCCTTGAAGCAGGTCCGTAGTCTCAGTCCCAATACTTCGGCACTTTTTTTGACTGTCGATCAAGATTCCGGCAAAATGTTTTGCCTTTCTTCTGTTCCGAAAGAGGCTATCGAAAGGGGGTTGAAAGCAAATGAGTGGGTGCAAGAGGTAGCTAAAAAATTGGGGGGCAAGGGGGGCGGAAAGCCTGATTCTGCTCAGGCTTCAGGTGGTTTGGGGGATGTTGATGATATTCTGGATCTGGCTAAGAAATTTGCTGAAAGTAAGCTCAAGAATTGAACATAGGGTGGGGTACCTATCTACAGTTTAAATTATTCTATTTTAATGTTTTTGAATAATAAATTTTGCTACCATAAACCATAATTATTATCACTCTACGTTTTTTATTTTTATTCCTAGGTACCTAGCAATGATGGAAGTAAGATATGGTGCGCGCATTCGGCCATTATTACGTATTGAAAATTTCAGATAAATCACTCGACCTCCTATTATGATTTCTCTACGTCACAACGAGCGAGACGTTGATTGTACATTTTCCCGCTAGATGGTGATGCTGCTATTTCTGCTGTGACGAGTGAAAATGAAATGGCAAATGGCATTTTAGGTACGCGGAACATATGTAACATTGGGATTATTCAACTCTGAATTCGAAAAATCTGCGATAATTTCAAAACTGACAGATATCATAATTGTGCAATGTCGCCATCTATTAGAAGACCGACGGAACCATTGCTGTCACTGTTCTCGAGAGGTCGAGTAAAATTTCTGAAACAAAAGCGCATCAGTGATTACACCAAATCTTACTTCCATCAATTACCTAGCTAAACAAGCTGAGATCACTAGAACAGCTGGCACTGTTATTTGTTGAGAATATGTTTAGAATATGTTACAATATATCGAAGTACCGTCCTGCTAACAATGATGACAGTGGAGGTCAAGCACCATAATTCAAGGACGCAGAAACTTTGAGGCTTGAATCATTTGAATACGGTCCTGAACAAAATGTGACAGATGACATATGAAAATGCGACATTTGACAATTACAATATTGACATTGTTGTCATGCTCGGCACTGGCACTAGTCAAAAGAGCAACTATTTCTTTCAAAATATTACTTTTCAATGATATTTATTCACCTAATAGTCCAAATGAGGGAATTCCAGATCTCGCAATTGCAAATCTTCAAGAGAGAATAATGTTAAAAATAATAAATATCTCTAAAGTCCCATAATACGTTTCAAATAACGGTGTATTCTTGCTCCCAGTAGTCCCCGTGCTACCCATCGTCCATTTTTAATGACTCATTGTTTGTACCGCGATAATTCTGTGGGAGATCTTGTTATTGTTATTGGCGCTTATTTTTTCAACAAAAACCCTCGAAAAATACGGCCGCATAAATGAAAATGAAACTTGTGGACCAGGTAGTGCGGAGCTTTCGCGTGGCGAAAGTCTTTCGCGAAAATACCGACAAAATAAACAGCATAGACTTCTCCCCAAGCGGAGAGACCCTGATCTCATGCAGCGAGGATGACCAAATCGTCATCTACGACTGCGAAAAGGGCACTCAGGTCCGAACAGTCAACAGCAAAAAATACGGAGTGGACTTGATCCACTTCACCCATGCCAAAAACACAGCTATACACAGTTCCACGAAAGTGGACGACACCATCAGATACTTGTCCTTACACGACAACAAGTACATCAGATACTTCCCGGGGCACACCAAGAAAGTGGTCTCACTTTGTTTGTCGCCTGTTGAAGACACTTTCTTGTCTGGGTCTCTGGACAAGACTTTGCGCCTCTGGGATCTGAGGTCTCCCAACTGCCAGGGCCTGATGCACTTGTCAGGAAGGCCTGTGGCAGCCTATGATCCTGAAGGGCTGATTTTTGCTGCTGGAGTCAACTCTGAGAGTATCAAATTGTATGATCTACGTTCTTTTGACAAGGTAAACAAGATAGTTATAGGTAAGGAAGTGGCAGATTGATGGATTGATTTGCAGGGCCCCTTTGTGACTTTCAAGCTAACCCAGGAAAAAGAGTGTGACTGGACAGGGTTGAAGTTCTCTCGTGATGGTAAAACCATTCTGATTAGCACTAATGGCTCAATTATTAGGCTGATTGATGCATTCCATGGTACCCCTTTGCAGACCTTCACAGGACACCTAAACAATAAGGTAACACACATATAAACTTGAAGTTGTGGCCTGTACTGATTTTTTTTGTTTATTTCAGGGCATACCTATAGAAGCCTCATTCAGCCCTGACTCCCAGTTCATTTTCAGTGGATCTACTGATGGTAGGGTGCATGTTTGGAACGCTGACACAGGTTACAAAGTGTGTGTTTTGAATGCTGATCACCCTGGCCCTGTTCAGTGTGTTCAGTTTAACCCCAAGTACATGATGCTTGCTTCTGCTTGCACCAACATGGCTTTTTGGCTGCCTGCCATGGAGGATACATAGAGGGGAAAGGGGTGGTTTTTGGTGGGACTAAGTTTTGTGTTGGACAGTGAGGTTAGGTGGATTTTCTAACTGTAGAGGAGATTTTCTCAGTTGAAGCAGTGATATCAAGGTGAACTTTGGCATGACTTTTGGGTGTAAAATTGGTTAGATTTCCTTGGGGGATTATCTGGAATTTCCTTGGAGTCTGCTTGGATTTATTAGAAGTTGCTGGAAATTATCAGGAATTCCTTGAAATTGTATGTAGTTTGCTGGAAATTCATTGAAATTCTCTAAGCACCTTGGAATTCTTTGGATATTCCTAAAATTCTTGAAATTAATTTAAATTGATTGCAATTCTGAAGAAAATTCTCCAAATTATCTTCTGAAACTTCTTGTATTCCTTCTTATTTCTTTCAATTAGCAATAGCATTGAGTAAGTTGTTGGGATTCTTCATTTTATTTAAATCCATAGGATTTTCTTGATGCCCCAATATGTATTTGAACATTCATTCAATTTCCTTGAAATTATTTGTTTTTCTTTGAAAGATACTTGAAATTCCTCAGAATTGGTTGGGTTGCTCTGAAAATTTTATGGAATTCTTGAAAATTATTTATTTCTCAACATTTTTTGGTTTCTATAGAATTCCTTGTGATGCCTTGGAATTATTATTGTGATTTTTGGGGATTAATTATTCCTCAACAATCTAGAATTTTCTGAAATTCAAATTTCTGTGAAATTCCTGGAATTCCTCCTAATACTTCAGCATTTTCTTGAAGTTTTTGGGAATTTCTTTGATCAGAATGATTTCTTTGTGAATTCTTGAAGTACAGTGTTGAGCAATAGAACCTCAAGTATGTAGTAAGTATGAGTTTTATTTATGATTTTATTCCAAACTCCTAGCTGATGAGTGTTTCCATGCTGAATTTGAAACAGCACAGGCTCATTTTGATTTACATGGTGACTCAAAAATGCTTAGAAACTTCATCATTGCCAAATTTACTAAAATGATATATTTTGACTATGCTGTTTATTTTTCTTACCTGTACCAGTAAAAACTGAAATTTTATAATTCCATATCTACCTCCAAGGAATTTTCCATTACAATTTTACAAGGCATCTAAAATATCAGTACAAAATTGAATGGAATTTGGAATTGAAATGTTGTTAAGATTGTTAAGTTAGATTTTTCATCTTCATTTTTCTGCCAAATTGTTAGGATTTTATACATTATAACAAAAATGTTGTTTTATTTTCGGACCTACAGAGGTATTTTCAGTGAAGATGCAAAATAAACTTTTATATGTTTAATTTATTTCTATGATCAACTTAACTTACATAAATTTTGAAAAAAAAAGTCAAGGCTCCTGTGTATACAGGGTGATTCAGGTTTTAGAGCACAAACTGAAATGGGAGGTAGATCTCATTATTTTAATCAGAAAAGTTCATATATACATCAGTTCGATCTCGTTCAGTAGCGGAGCTACAGGGGGTCAAAGTTTAATTATTTTTTTCTATTAATTGAAATATCTCGCTTACTTTTCAATATATCATTTTAAAATTTGATGTGGTCGATACTATTTAGAATATCATCATTTCAAGCCATTTTAAGATTTTCAAAATCTACAGGGTGATACGGTTTTGGGGGTAGAGGCTTCTTTATCCCCCCCAAACTTTTCCGTAGTACGCCTCTGGCATCTTTCAGTGATCAAATTGTGTGGATCGTTCAATTCAAAAGCTTTTTTTGGTCTTCAATTTTTTTCGAGAAACGAACCGTTTTCGAGATAAATAAGCATATACGTTCTAAAACATGTAAATTTTGCCTGTTGTTGTTTCCCTCTCGGTTTCCCTTAAATTTCATTTAACTGAAAAAAAAACTCGACTTTCTACCCTCCGTATTCCCGTAATTGATCCAGATTGGACTAGTGATTGCAATTTTAGTGAGTACATTTCATTGTATTCTCAACGAATTTTGTCTATGAATAAAATTTAAGCGAAACATAGGCAAAATTAACATGTCTTAGAACGTATAATATACGTATATATACGAGCATATTATGCTCATTTATCTCAAAAACGGTTCGTTTTCTCGAAAAGAATTTAAAAGCAAAAAAGCCTTTAAATTGAACGATCCACACAATTTGATCAGTGAAAGATGCCAGAGGCGTACGAAGAAAAATTTTGGGGGGGATAAAGAAGCCTCTACCCACAAAAACCTATCACCCTGTAGATTTTGAAAATCTTCAAATAGCTTGAAATGATGATCTTCTAGGAAGTATTGACCACACCAAATTTCAAAATGGAATCTCAAGAAGTAAGCGAGATATTTCAATTAATAGAACAAAATTATTGAACTTTGACCCCCTGTAGCTCAGCTTCTGGACGAGATCGGACTAATGTTTATATGAACTTATCCGATTGAAATGATGAGATCTATCTCCCATTACAGTTTGTGCCTCAAAACCTGAATCACCCTGTATAACAACTGCAACAAAAACTTTAATCAAGTATATTTTTTTTACATCCTGTTAATGTGGTTTTTATTTGTTGCATATTTTTTTAATAAATTGAAATTTCCTAATTAATTCATCCACTCCTTTTTCGGAATAATTCAGGTTCTGGAGTTAGTGAATTCATTCCACGTGGTCAAACTATACTGAATATGATTCAAAATGATGAAATCAGTGTTTATTTGAATATTCATATTTTTTAGGAGTGTAGGTAAGATGACTGTAGATATTTTGTAGCAATACTGTTACTTCATTCAGATAATAAAAACATGACCTTTATTATTATCAAATACAGATGGTTCTTCTTACATACGTGTCATAGTTTCTGAAATTTGAATGAAATATGCAAATCCAATCAATTTTTATGTAAAATCTTATTGAAAAATAAGTTAGTTGTATTTTCATGTGATTGATAGTTCAGAGATGTTCTAATAATGAATAATTATAATTTCTGACTGATACAATAAGATGTATCTGAGGTGTTTTGGAAAATGAAAGTTTTTCATGGAACCTAATAAATAAAACTTCAAAAAAATGTGTTTTTAATTCACACCACACTTAAAATAAATATAATCTAATTATCTGGGGAACAAAGTACATATTATATATAGAAGCTTGTGTTATGTGAAGGAGTATATCTTTTTATAGACAATCATAAGACTTGGGCTTGAACTTGTCATGTATATGCATCGGTGCAAATTGAAACAGCATCAATTCAAATGTCACTATGGTTCCTGCCATCTGAAAACAAAAATAGTTATTTATGTATCGAGGGCGTAAAATAGGCTTTTATGGACCTTAACATATAAATAAGAGCCCTAGCGATAAGACCATGAAAGCAAGTTAATTGGGTAAGTGGACTGATAATGAATTTATTATTGGCATTCAAGTCTTTAGGAATCTAAATTAATTTTTGCACTTTTAACACTTCTTGTAGTATCGAGTAATTATGAATAAACGGATCAGAAAGACATGAGTGAATCATCACCATCGCAATGCGGATAGGTTGAAATAATGATAAGGAGATTCATTAGTGTCTGGACGATCGGACAGAGTACATCGGTGTTTAATTGTGTTACCCAATCCCAGTATATTACAGTGGCGACGAGTGAAAATAATTTGGAATAAGTTGATTAATCAGGGTGAGTAGAAGAAATATGCAAAAGACATCTGAACCTAGCTCGCCCATCAGTTCTAGTTTGTAGAGTGAAATATACGCTCAGTCCACAATATGAATCATAGAATGAAAAACCGTTGACATGGTGACGTGTAGCAATTATTGAATACGGGTCGATTCTGAATGCAGTCAATTTCATATTTTTCAATTCGTCACATTTGAATGAAATACTTTGGAAACTTGAACTGGGTATGATAGATTATCAGACAAGGGTCACAGACCTGGACCAGGATGTCCGAAGACCGATGTGTCATGAATAGGCCACAGGCCTGAGTGAAAACTCGAACAGACGAAATGTCTGAGGGTCACAGACCTGGACCAGGATGTCCGAAGACCGATGTGTCATGAATAGGCCACAGGCCTGAGTGAAAACTCGAACAGACGAAATGTCTGAGGGTCACAGACCTGGACCAGGATGTCCGAAGACCGATGTGTCATGAATAGGCCACAGGCCTGAGTGAAAACTCGAACAGACGAAATGTCTGAGGGTCACAGACCTGGACCAAGTCCGAATACTGTAGGTCCTGAAACGGCTACAGGTGTGAGCGAAAGCTCAAATAGAGGGCACCAATGGGCACTCTTAATTATATATATATATATATATATATCATTTCTAGACGTGATGAACCAAAATACCTGTAACATTAGTCAATTCGATGTCGAGGGAGACATTTGTTCAGTCGGCCTTCGTTGGGAGAAATGGAAAAGAGCGTTTTCTATTTACATCGAAGCTGCCGGTATTGGAAACCCCTCGAAGAAAAGCGAACCTTCTACATCAAGGTGGATTAGGATTGCAAGAAATATTTTATAACATACCAGGAGCCAATGTCAACCAGGAGGAAGGAGTGGATGTCTACGAAGTAGCCATCACAAAACTTGATAAATATTTCTCACCATAACATAGCGGAGTTTATGAACGACACGTTTTTCGTCTGATGAAGCAAGAAGAAGGAGAAGGAATCGAGAAATTTCTCTTGAGACTTAGAAATCAGGCAGGAAAATGTAAATTTTCCAATATAGAAGAAAATCGAATAGACCAAATAGTGAAAAAGGGTAACTCAATCAAATTACGGAAGAAAATATTAGCAGCTGTGGACTCGATAACTCTAGAAAGGGTGATCAACGAGGCTACATCTCTAGGGCTACATCTCTAGAAACAGTAAATAGAGAACTGGGAGGATTTCACGAAGTTCTTCAGGAAACGGCGACCAAGTAAATGCTTTGAATTCAAGGTTTGAAGGTAAATCAAAACAAGCCTGTACTAGATGTGGTCGCAGTAATCATTTTTCTAACGACTCAAAATATCCAGCTAGACGGCAGAATTGTAATAAATGCAACATACCTGGACATTTTGCAGCATATTGTAGAACACGCCAGCCAAAGTCAGAAGTTTCCAAAAGGAAAAATGAAGAATTATTGAGGAATTACTTTTCAAAAAATAAAAAACCAAGACAATCTGGAGTTCGTTTCATCACAGAAGATTCACACTCGGAAAATGAAATTGACCATGTTTTCCATATAGACCAAGATGAAACAATAACTTGTTCATTAGGTGGGGTAAAGACAAAAATTTCGATAGACTTCGGGAGTAAAAGTAATCTTATAACGGATAAGACCTGGGAATACTTGAAAGAACATAATGTTCAAATCATTTATCAAGAAAAACATCCTAAAAAAATGCCTATGGAAGCAATAAACCTTTAACGGTATTAGGTTCTTTCGTATCCAAAATAGGAATAAATAACAAACATTTAGATGCCACATTTTATGTAATCAAAAATGATACAAATAATTAATAGGGAAAGACACCTCAAAAGATTTAGGAGTCTTGAAAATAAGGTTGGAGTCGGTGAACAACGTGTCCACCTTCCCTAAATTCAAAAACGTTCTCATTGATATTCCAATCGATGAAAACGTCAAGCCAATTCGTCAACCATATAGAAGAGTACCTACCATCCCCTTAGAAACGAAAGTCAACACCAAAATGAGAGAACTATTAGACTCCGACATAATTGAAGAGGTGGTCGGTCCATCCAAGTGGGTTTCTCCCCTCGGTCCAGTTTTAAAAGGAAACGGTGAGGTTAGGATATGCGTAGATATGAGAGAAGCTAATGAGGCAATCATCAGAGGGAACTATCCTCTCCCAACTATGAACGAATTCCTCCCAATATTCAG